ACTTGATAAAGCAAACAAGATTTATGCCAACACAGATTTGTGGGATTGAGAGAAGGATCAGATGCAGCATAAACAGTGATATTGTGTTGTGTAGGCACAATATTATGCCATTTTCCTTTCTCATTCTGCACTATAAAATAATGTGGACAGCTTCCTATTTTCTGATTGCTTTCAGTATTGGTCACAGACCACCAGGAAGGATGAGCGAGCATTTACTCCTTGGTAATATAAGCACAAGCCACAGAAGTCAAAACTGACTTGAGCATGTGTTATCGAAAAGGACTGGCATATAACAAAAAAAAAAAAAACTCATGTTCACAACACTCTAAGCCAAGTGCTAAAGCACAGAATAAAGAAATAATTAAATAGGGTTATATTTTCCTAGTAAATCTGCCATTTACTGGGAGAAAGGCGCACCACAGTGTCCATCATCCCACAGAGCAGAGAGATGGGAAACGGAGAGCTCCAAAAGAAGGAGGTTCTTTAGCGCAGGAGACGTGATGTGTCTGGATTCACTGACTCTTCAGCTTCTGCTGCCAGCCATCCGACAGCACAATGAGGCCTCTTTGCCAGGCACTGACTACTTGTGTTAAATGAAACTTTCCCTGGACTTATGTCCAGTCCAACCCGCCTTGCTCTCATCAGTTACATTGGAAGGCACAGATTTCTCACCTGACAGCAGTGGAGACAGAAAGGAAATGCCTGTGCCCCAGCTCACGGGGTCCACCTCAGGATCCTGCCCATCTTGGAAGCTGCCACTTCAAGGTCCTCCTCACCCAAAAACAGTGCTGTCAATGGTCATAATTTGTCACCAACTCGATGCTCCCTTCCTTCAAGTGCCTCTTTCAAAAGCAGCAGTTCACTGAATTAAACCCACAGGGTGCACAAGGTGGTGACTACCCAAGTAACCCACAGCCGCATGAACACTTGGAGACACAAGGTTCTTCTGACTAATATTCCCGTCATGTCTGACTAATGAGGGCCATTTTAAAATGTCAAGAATTTTTTTTTCCCCCTTCCTCATTCCTTACTCATTCTTGCAGTAGATGATAATGAACTGGCATTCAGTCCGTTTTTACAGTCCTGAGGTGGGAGGAAAAAAAGGGGGCTGCAGCCTTCAGGAAGCAGAAGCAGCACTGGGAGGACAGTGTCCCAACAGGGAAAAATCCAACATATATCCAAAGGCAGCTCTAGCCTGAGAAAAGAGCATTGGGAAAAGTGCCTAAAATAGAGAGGAAAATGTATGTACGTGTGTACACCTATAGAATAAAGCAGGCAAAATAAAAGCCTCTGTCGATATTTACAGGGCTGCAGCTGACCTCCCTGTGGGTTCTTTCCAGTCATTCACTAAATGTGTGGAAACTATCGATTTTGCCTAATGAAAGCGTCTCCGTGCATTTCGCAGGGACAACCGCGAAGCACGGGCTGCGCTGCAAGGCTTGCAAGATGAGCATCCACCACAAGTGCGCCGACAGTATCGGGCAGCAACGCTGCATGGGCAAGCTGGTAAGTGAGCAGGTCAGGCAGCCCGCACTGAGCCACCCGCTCTCTCCGTGCGACCTTCTGGCCCATATTTAGCTGCTGGATTATCCAAACTGACCCCTGATCACCTCCCTTTGCTGGGAAAAGTAATGCCAGGTGGTGGCTTATTATAAATCAGGGTGATTTCTGCTACTTAGGAACCTGATCAGCATACTGCATTGTAAATCTGTTCTGCTTTATGGATGTGAATATATGGCTGCATAATCTAAATTTAGCTAAATATCAGAATTAATTCCTGTGATTTAAACTGTGCTTGCTGTAATCTCTGTAGTGCAAGTGTCTACGGAAGCCACTATAACTTAGTCATCCTATTTCAGTAGAGTGTAGCAAATGAAAAGTCCTTCAAATTATGTTTTACTATTTTTTTCCACTGTAAAAGCTTTAAAAAGTGCCATTCAGCTTGATGAGCAAACACAGCCTGTTCCACAAAGACACAGAGAACTGGCCTGTCAGTAAGAGAGGTCAAGAGAGACCTGCTCCTGGTATATACAGACAACCCCTTTAGTAGCTGGGTCACATTCTAAGCATCAGATTGTAGTATTGGCAAAGGCAGAAGACTACATCTGAGGCTGGTCCAGCCTGGACTGCTGACTGTTTTTATAGAAATATGGTTCTTTAGTTTCCCCTGGAGAAAAATCAGTGAAAATGACCATATGAAACATGAAAAGTGGTTGCATATATTCACTTTTCAGATGTTTTCAGTTTAGTTACAAGCACGTGCCAAGCGAATGTACCAAAACCAAATCTGAGCTAAAAAGAAATAGTAATATTGTGTTTGATGATGAAAAAAAAGCAGGCATACACCTCAAAAGGGCTAGGAAATCCATCTTTCCTTTGGAAAGACTTTTTCTCTCCAAGTGTATTTGGTAAATACTATTGTTGGTTATACACCTGAGGCAACACTTTATGCATTTAAACCTTCATCCTAGCCCTAGTGTGAGGCATTCTGCTGTGGGAAATCGATGTATAAAGAGCTGAATGACCTCACTGCAGGTCTGGGACAAGCCAAATAGTAAATCATATGGATTGCTTCACACGATGCTGGATTCCAGCCTCAGCTATTGTGGTCACCAATTTACAAAAGCAGAGAAGAAGTGGCCAAATTTACAGCTGGAAGAAGTGCTGCAATGTCAGGGGAGATTTATAGCCTCATGTCGTGTCAGAATTTAGTTTGTTTTGAGACAAACTGTGGCTGGAGAAATCAAGGATTTATTCCTCCAAAAAAACAAATTTATCATTTCTTTCATTTCTTCTCAATCTGTACTGCTGCTCACTCGCAATAAATTTACTTCCATATAATTTTATGATGTATACTGGATATAGGATATTACTAATAAGTGCATCCTCATGAGGAGCTGCCAGTGGCTAGTGCTTCTCACAACCTGTGCAGTTGTGAACTCTTAGAAAGCCAAGGGAACGTTCATTAATCCCTAATAGCTTACAGGACATTTCCGAAGATTTATGTGTTCACAGCATCATTTTGGGTTCTTAGCATTTGACAGAGATATTTGCTAGCTGAGGTAATAAATCAAGAACAGCTTTTAGAGTGCTATAAGGAATCTTGATTGGTCACATTATATTATTGTGTGGCTTAAGTTGTTCCAGTGCATTGTTCTATAAATGAGCACTTAGGGGATATGAACTGATAATTTGGGGGATCTTTTGACCTGGCAAGACCAAAAAGCAGTGGAAGCTGCATCCAGTCAGCGGCAGACATCAGAAAAATCTATAAAAAGAAGACTCTATGTTTCTTGGGTTTCACACATGCATCTGTGGGAACATGGGAATTAGCATTTAGGGCAAAGGATAGGTGCATGCTCCACAAATGCAAACCAGTGCACGTTCACACTTCATATATTCTTGCATTAAACATAATGAACATTACATTACACCAGCTAGAAACTCAAGTGATTTGGCATTTCTGCTGCAACTCATTAGCGATCCATTTGTGCTGCAGAGAACCTGAAAATGACCCCTTATCTCCTTCCAGATAATTATAGGAATTTTTTTTTCCAACAGAAAAAAAATACGTATTTTTATGTTTCACGTGTTTCGGCTTTCTCTCCCTCCAGCCAAAGGGATTTCGGCGGTACTACAGCTCGCCGCTCCTCATTCACGAACAGTTCGGCTGCATCAAAGAAGTGATGCCTATTGGTAGGTTTGGGCTGCTTCTCCATCCATCTCCCTTCGGCAGGGCTTTGCAACCACACCAGCAGGCTCCCTGCTGGGGTGTTGGTCTGGGGGTCCACTGGGGGACTTTGCTTGTGCCCTATCCTATATCGCCCACACTTCTCACTTTCCTTTCCCATTTGCTCATTGAGCATTTATATACTTTTGTTCAAGTATATAATGGAGCAGATTTTTCACTGCTTTACCAAATTCCTGAAAAGAAAAATTTGGAAAGGAAAATGTTGAGTTCTTTTTGGGAAACATTCTTCTCTAAGAGCAATCTTATCTGGCAAGCCTGGCAGTGCAAAAAATGAAAACCAAAACTAAATAGTTAATTTAAAATGACAAGTCTGCAAACATTTATTCAGTTATTTTCTGATATCGAAAAAAAAAAGTCAATTATATGAGATTCCTCTAAGATTCTGTTTCTGAAAAGCATTTGTCCTTTTCAGCATAAGAATTTGAAATGTTTTGAGCAGGCTCTGGCTGAAAATGAAGTGTGTTTTGCTCTGCTCAGGATTCAAAATGTATTTTCCCTCTTTTTGTAAAGCACTACAAATTTAGCATATTTTGATGTGCTATGTATTCTTGTACCCCAGAGGAACCTGAGGTCCCATAATACAGTTATGAGAAGGTACCCAAAACAGGTATTTTCTCACCTGCCTTCAGATCCCACAGAATAGCAATGTTGTTGCCTCTCTAAGGAAGATTCAGGCCATTCTGTTTACCCAGTAATAGCACTAAGAAGGTAGATGACATAAAGGTGATGGTCCACCCACAGCACAGTGAAGCCCAGGCACGATGAAGGTATTTCCCTCCAAACATCCAGCTGGAGAGTAATCCAAAAGTTAAATGATAGGAAAAGGCAGGAAATACAAATTAACATCAGTGTAGGTACCACCAGCAGTGATTAGGGAAGGAGGATGCAGATGGGGAGAGATGAGGCAAGGGTAGAGACCTGGAGAGCTCGTGTGAAGAAAGGATGACTTTTATCAGAGCAGAACAGCAGCAAAAAGTTACTAGCAAAAGCCATTTCCTCCAAGTTTGTTAAGTAAGTACTTTTTTTCTCAGGATAACCTCATAACTTGTATTTCTCAATGTACATCCAGAAAGTGTTGCTAAAGGCATGTTTCTCCGTATGAATCAGGAACCTAGAAGGAAACGTTGAATGTTTTCCATGTATTAATGGATTGATTTTGCTCCTTCGGTTGCAGCCTGTGGCAATAAGGTTGACCCTGTCTATGAAACTCTCCGCTTTGGAACTTCCTTAGCTCAGAAAACCAAGAAGAGCAGCTCTGGAAGTGGGTCTGATTCTCCCAACAGGAATTCTGTAAGTAACAGTTACAGAGGGATATTCTTCTTTTTTGTTTTTTTTGTTTTGTTTATACATATATCCATTCCCTGGGGTTAATATCAAAGCTTATAAAACTTATATTTCAAGACCTTAAACAAAAAAAAAAGTATTATTCCCAGTTCAAACTATGGGACCAACAAACACTTTATTTTTGTAAGCTCCCGTTTTAAGACTTACTTGAGAAAAAAATAGAAAAATTAAGAGTAAGGCATTGAATAACATTCTTTCATTGGATATGAAAATTAAATGTTATTCTTAATATTAAATATCCTTATGAAAGCAGAAAACAGATATTTAGCTCTAAACATGTATTTCTAAAGCCACCCCTATGCCTTTTGTCCTGAACAAAAAGCCTTGCAGCCAGAGTGGACACATTCTGCTTTTAATGATGGACATTTAATGCTACATGATAGCATTAAGAACGGCTTGTGCTCCTCAGAGTCTGAATCGACAAGCACAATTTCCACCATACAAGCCCAGCCAAAATGAAGCTGTTGCCACCACAACAGGGCAGTGAACTCATACCTCCATTCCTGCCCAGCATGAACTAGTGAGGAACACACTACAGATGGGTTCCTCACCTCAAACCCACAACTTGGGCGTGGATGTGCTCAGTTTGATGCATCCTCACCTTCACATCTGTGATTGTCATTCACTGTCTTCTGTCATGAAAGTTACTGTCTTCAGCACCATAGCAGGAGATGAAGGAGGAGCATAAGGGAAGAGATAGTAACCTTTAAACCTGTCTGTGCTAACTCCATACCTAGTTCAATGGTGCTGCTTTACTATTTGTGCAAGAAGGAAATCAGCATTTCAATGCTATTGGGTCCATGCTATCAGCAGCTCAGGCACAGGATTGAGAGGACATTTCATATCCTCTTTCTCGTATACACTAGCACCTAAGCCCATGCTTGAGCCACTCTGTTGTTCCAAGACGTCCTTCAGACAAATCAAATCAGAACTGAATGCACTGGAGACAAAGGCTGATTGTCACTTCTGAAAGTCAGACCCAGGTTATCTGACAGTCTCTCCGAGTGGCAGTTCCTGCTCCACTACTGATAGCAGAATGAAATTCACCCCAGGCATAAAGATGCTATGCAGCTTTGTTTCTAGGCGAATACTCATATGTTTAATTTAAGCTTAGGCTAAAATCTACGTATGTTCACTACAAAATTCCACTGGCACTTAAAATATATGTTGTCTAAAATGGATGAAGTATAGGCTCAGATGGTACAGGAGGTCCCTAAACAGATTTTAATTTATCTCAGATGGAAAAGAAGATACAGAAATCCAAACAAGGACCTAGTGAAATCTGCTAGGGAGTTATTACAAGATGTGTCCTTTATCCAGCCTTATATTTTTGCCTTAAAAGGAACTTGGTAATTTTCATTCTCTTTCTGAAACTCAAAGTGACTCTAGCACCTGTCACATAGTGATTACAGTCTGTTCTTTCAATTATTTCATTTACTTTGAAACAGAAGTTCTACAAATGTAATTATTGCTTTCTAAATCAATAAAGCATTATGTTGAATTATGAATGACTATTCAGGCATAGAAATCATGAACGCTGTGTCAGCTCACCCTAGAGAGCTGATCGTAACTGGGAGAGGTGTGGGTGTAGAATAAGGAATGCTGTTTCATTATGGGAATTTCTCCAGGGTACGCAGACTGAGAGAGAGAGAGAGTGTAACACTTGTCAGTGTTTGGAAAATAGAAAACATTAGCGGGCTGAATAAACAGATGTGTGAAGCTACAACTTCTGCCAGTGCAAGTCTGTGTATTGAGACAGGGATAAAAACCAGAAGACACAACCTCAATCCAAATGATGGGGTCATGAAGCTTCACAACCATGATGTGTGACACAAGAGCACAGAGCAGGGAGCTGACACAGATGAGCACCACATCTCTTTGACTGGTCCATGTCCCAGCCTGGGCAGATAAAGAGTGATTCTGGGTCTGCCATTGGGACCAAACCAGGACATCAGCGACTCAGTGACGTCTGGGATCCTACTGCACCTCTCAGGCAGTGCCCGAGCTGTCAAAGACCCATCTATGGATGGGAGCAGTGTAGCAGTTTCAGCTGCATGTGGTGCCAAAGCAAAGGTAATTGGCTCCAGACCATGCTCCATACCTACAGCCTTGCGGCTTCCAGGATTGTAGCTCATGTGTGTGCCCTGTATAGAGATACCATCTAGCTCTGAACCAGCGGAGGTAATTTTACCATGCTTGGTTAGTGTGGAGGCACCCACTCTGATTTTCAGCCTGGATGCTGCATGTCCCATGCAAGAAAGCAGCCATATGCTCCAGATATATTAGCTACTGCTTCCCTTGAAATCTGCCTCTGCAACCCACATTTATACAGAGAGTCACTTGAGGTGATGTAAATGTGATACCAGTTCTTGTGTTTGATGTATCAGCTCATAGTTTTGTAAGTCTGTCATTTCTCTTGACTATTGTTGCATGACTATTTGTCATACAGCTCCTGATGGAAAAGTTATTAAAGGTAACTGAGGCTATTTCAGGTGGCTTTGAATCAGGCTGATGCTGAAGAGATGGTCATTGCACTTCTATACATGGTAATACAAAACAAGGATGAAACTAATCAGCAATTATGAAGCTAGTTTACGGAGACTGAGGATCATGTCACAGTAAATACCTGAAAAATAGCTATGACTGACTATTTCAACAGAGAAAGTCTTTTCTTTTTCTAGTCGCCAGCTAGGAATCCCAAGGTCTGCTTTGCCCTGTCTGCTTGTAGTGCAGAGTGCCTTCTCCTAGAGAAGTGACCCATTTATGCAAGCTGCAAAACAACTGTGACCTCGTCCAAAAGGCTTAATCTGAAAACAACACATAACCAAGCAATAAAATCACGAGATTTCTGTGACGTAAATCTACTGCCAAACTCTAAGTCCATCACTATTCTAGGGAAGTACTACATGGGGGAAGTAAGTTCCGCCATAGTCAAGAAAGATAATTAATTTTCAAAGTGCTTTCTAAAGCAAAAAAAAAAACCCTATATTATTATTGCTAGTAAAAGGAAAAAAAAATGTATAAAAAAACTCTGAAGCCATCCAGATGTTGTGATCCCTGAAGAAAGAGGGCAAATGTTCCTGATTTGTCTTCTCTTCCAAAAGAATTTAGCTTTGTTTTGCAGGCAAAGAGCAGGCAAAGAGTAGAGCTGTGTGTGCAATATAATTCTAGGGTGTCTTGGAGTAATTAAATACTTCTGTATGTCTTAAAGAGTTATTAACACAAGATAAATAAAGCTTAGACATATACAAGAACTTAGGGGTTTTCAGAGTGAAGATCATCTGACTCTTGATCTTAAAGTTTTGTGGGGTTTTTTTTGTGGTTCTAAAAGATGTTTCACCCAAAAAAGTCACAGGTGAAGTGTTCAGAAACTGAAGCTCATTAAGGTCAAGTTCAGACAGAGTTGTTTGGAGTAGCTTCTGGTTCCTGTTGTGCTGTACATGGAGAAGCCAACTACCCAGCAGAGGAATCTGGAGCTGTATGCAGAGTATACTTCTAAGGTTTGGGATTATGTCATCCCTTGTTTTCCTAGACTTCTAAAACAATGGGTCCCTAGTCATGATTGGCATTAATATGGTACAAATAAGAAATAACAGTAATCGTAGCAAAATTCTTTGAGTTTTGTTTGCCTTAAAACAGATGACTCTTCAAAAAGAAATTGAGGGCAGATATTTCAAGACAGACTTCATCAGCTTCTTCACACTCTAGCTCTTTTTTTTTCACAGCATGTTAAAGGAATTAAAACCACACTTATATGAAAGGTATTTTACCAAATAATTTATTCAGAGTTAATAAATTAATAATCAATGGTGTCAACTAATGTTTAGTGAATTCATTAGACAGCTATCTAGTGTACCTGCAGCATCTATACATTTCCCAAGTCCCTTCTATTTTGTATAGATGACCACATTGATTAGCGTAATCCTCTTTTTTCCTTAATTCTTCACTTCACTCTGCAGAAATCTTTTGCACTTTGGCCTGAGACCTTAGTCTGGAGGGCTTTCTGGGCTTTCACTGCCCTGCTCTGAAAACACATAAATGCTGCATTCCTCTAAAGGCTGTTGTGCAGTTTTACTTCATTTCATCACTTTCTGGCTTATCCCATATGATTTTCTCATTCTGTCCCTACAGACCTCTGACCTGGCAGAAGTTCCTGAAGAAGCTGATAGCTCTGGAGGCACTTTTGACATCAACAGGAAACGGAGCAACAGTGGTGAGTGCTTCCAGGCCAGGCTAGCATTCTCAGATGTTTTGGTCTCATGCCAGCCACAAATACAACCTGTTTCAGAGATTTTTTTCCTTTATGGCATGACCATGTTTTACCAGTATCTTTACTGTGGAAGATTAGGGCTAACAGCTGGTGTAAGAACTGAGGAAATGCTCTTTGCTATTCAGATGAGATACAAGCCACTGTGTCTGTGTTTTCTTAATTTCTTGTGTCCAGGCCTGACACAGAACGGTTCAGGTCTGATTTCTAGCTTTGCTGCTTCAGAGACATGACTTCAAACTAATCACTTAACATGCTTCAATTCCACATTGGTGAAGTAGAATAAAAATAATACTTCCTGTCTCTTCTCATATGTCTGAATTGTCTACTTGTGTCTATATGCCATAATTTCTTCGGGACAGGGAGTGATTCATATAATAACCATTTGACCATAAAATATCCAGCACAATTAATCTTGATCATAATTTCAGCCTCTCAGTACAGTTATAATATGTTCCACAGTAATATTAATAGCCCAATTCCTTTGCCTATTTTGCAGTAATGTTTTTTATGGCATTGGTATGATGGGATTTCAAGACCAGTGTTAAGGGATCAAATCTTAACCACTGAGGGATGGTATTGAAGATCCTGGTCTCAAATTCAGTCATGGTGAGAGAAGCAATAAACACAAAACCTGGAGCACTCACCAAACTTTCAGGCCCAAAACACCTCAGTGCCTTCTTGAACAGCACATGAAGAGTGATTTGCAGGATCTCAGCTGGGATGTAGGCTGCAGTTGTCCATTCTGGTTTTATGCCACCTCCTTCTTTTGGCCTCCCTTTCCTCTTGGCCCTATCCCTTCTTTTCACCATATTCAGTCATTTCCTCCTTTCCATCTTCTGAATATCCCATCTGTGTATCCCATCTGCCTTTTCCTGACAATATATTTAGCTTTTCCATTCTGGAAGTGTGAGTTGACCTGACTTGGTTAAAAGGAGGAGACTTCAGTCTCCTTCACATCGTACAATCCTGCCCACCTGAGGTTAATTTGGACATGTTTGAGTTTTCAGACAAATTTTTCTCATTGTCATTCAATAGTTTCATCTCTGAACCCCAAAGAAACTTTTCTTTCCTGTGAGATCTGCATTCACTGAATGCACTGAAAGGCATTCAAGAAACTTACTCAAAGAGATTAGTTTAAAAACTCAGCATGTGTCAAACCTCCAAATAACTTCTGCAGCACATTAGCAATTCCTTTGATCAGCACTGGCTTTTTTACAATCCATCCTTCAGAGGCTCAGGGTATAAATTATGCATCAGTCGCTCCAAAAATTTCCCCTTGGTAGATTTTTAATAAACTGCCCATACTGTTTGCACAAGCCGTGGAAATGGTAAAATCCTTTTCAGGCTGTCATAATTTCCATTTTTTTTTCCTGCTGCTACTAGGGCAAACAAATATGAAAATAGATGGATTTCTGTTGTGTGGAGACATGAACTACATAGCTCTATGGCCTTCAGATTCATGCATCTCCCAGTAATATCCAGAGACCAGGAGCTAAACAGAGATTAAAAATTTAACAAATTCAAAATGTTGTTACAGAGTGATTCATCACTCTCTTTTCTTCAGTTGTCCACCACTTCTTTGGCAGGCAGTACCACACAAATACTTTGATGAATCAGGTCCATTCTAGTTCTTTTTTATTTTTTTCCATAACAAAACTGACTCCTCCAAACAAGATTTTAGGAAATGCACATTTGAATCTCTTCCCTTTAAGGGAAACACCAAAAAAAGGACATAACCTGCAGAAGGATGGAAGGACTCAGCACATACGTAATCATACCTTTAGATATATAATGGCAATTTCAAGGGAAAGTGCTCTCATTCAGGCACTAGCACACATACTGTAGCAAAGCTGCTTAGTTGACAACTCTAAGATGACTTGCCTAATTTCCAGCTCCTTGGCCTCCTCTAAGCCAGTTACACTTCTTCATTGCTGTGAATTGCTTTCAGCAACAGAAGTCCCACAGGCCAAAATGTACTCTAAATGACATGTATGAGCCTGTTTTCAACAGGGACTTGAGTATTTGCCACGTTGAGTCAAAGATGTAAAACCCCTTGGGCAAAGCCCAGCTTAGCAAGCAGGTCTCTGCACACAGGTTTGTGTATCTGTCACCAAGTAGCAATTATTCCAAAATGTGCTGCTCTAGTTAAATGTTTCCTTCCACTTTCGATGAATAACTTTCTATATGCCCAAAATGCTTGTGTTTACCAAGCACATCATTCACCAGGACTTTTTGGTTAGTCTTTCTGAGAAGGCCCAGAAGCCATGCGTGGTGCTTTAAGCTGAATTTGAGCACTGACAGATTGGACTGGCATTTTACATCACTTTATACAGACACAAGACACATATATGCTCTGGAAATTGCTTTTTTTAAAAAAGATTTCCCACTCTGACACTCACTGACATTTACAGGGCCAGACAGTGAGGCCCCAGGTCAGCCACAGGCAAATCCCCTACACATAACTGAGGGCATTTTCTGGTTTCATTCAGCAAATATTGGATCATACATCCTTATATTCAGCGCTCTTTGAACCTTATGACTACAAAATTGTCTTACGTGCTTGTATGTGCACATGAATGTGTGTTACTTCTTACTGCATCGTTTTCTACATTGTGCGTGCTCTGGCTGCCTAAAATGGCAAAATCGCTTTTACTTCAAGAGTAATGCATTTTTCAGCATCTAAGTACAAATCTCTCTACTATCAAAGAGTCTTACTATCTAACTAGGAAAACTTCAAAGACTATTTGCCTGGCTGTCATTTACGATATAAAATAGCCATAGTAATATGTGTTCATGAAAGACTGGCGAGCAAGTGAAAATAAAAGAGCAGGGAAATTCAGTAGTTTGGGGGTTCCTTGATCCCCTTTTTTTTTTGCCCCTGAATATGTGAAGCTATGTCACAGTAAAACAAAACAAAAATGAAAGCCAACAATCAGTCTGCTTCCTACTGGTGCTTTGAAGATTTCCAAATTGTTACTAGAGACCACAAACCTTGGCTTCCGTTCAAAACAACTGTGGAGGTAAATAGTGAGAGAAGACACTGCAGCTATTACAACTCTACTCAGACTTTACCCAGAAGCAGGAAACACCAAGAAATTCTTAGAAAGTGAAGCAGAAGTTCAGTCAAAGCCACCATTGGTTTCTCAGGGGGGAACTGAGGACATGAAGCCGTTAGGAGAGTGTAACTGGTTAGACAGCAGATACTGGATGCTAGTAACCTGCTCCCCTGTGGCTGCTGAGTAACATTCCCTGAGTAGCAGGCAGAGTTTCTGATTTAGTAATTTAGTACCAAATTTTCACAGATACAACCCCACATCTCCCCATTTAAAAGCACTAAATGTTGAAAAGATGACCTTAGTGAGACACACTTCAGGTATCTCCTTACAAAAGCAGAGGTGGAGGTGGATCATCTGGGATGATCTAAGCTGATGGTTACTGGAGAGGACAAATAGGCTACCAAATAGAGACTGAGGGTCAAAGAGGGGGAATCAGGGGTTTGGGGGACAAATTTCCATCCGTGTTGCTCATGTATGTTTACCAAGTTTTTCCGTTGTTTTTAAACAGAAATCATGCAGATCCTAAACAGCATTTAGTTTGGAAAAAAAAGACTGCTAGACCTTCAATAGAAATGCAATTGGGACACCTAGTTTATATTCCCAGTTCTGTGTATTCATTTCATTTATGAATTGTCATCTGACCAAAATGATACATTTTATCCTTCAGGCCAGGGATTGTCTAGGGCGATGTGCCAAGTTGAGTGGGATACCTGCTTTTGTTCAAGATATAATAGGATTCAGGGAGAGTACAAGGGATGGAAAGAAAGTGGAAAGAAAGAAAGAGGGAAAGGGAAGAGATTAACAAAATCAAGGTCATCCTCATGAAGCGAAACTGCTCCTAAAATGTCATGTGTCTGCTTTATTTCAGTGTTTACATACTCCGAAAACGGCACAGAACACTTTGGAGAAGAACCAAAAAGCATACATTCTCCGGTATGGGCAAAATCTGGCAAGGTCTGGCAAGAAAATGGGCAAGAATAAGATGGGAATGGAGTGGCCAATGAAAGGCTTGGTTTTATATATAGCCACAGTCCTTGAGCCGTGCAATTGTTGCAGAACTCCTGGGAAACACTTCTGGGGAAGGATCAATACATGACTACTCTGTTCTCATACAATTTCTAGGCTTGATGATGGCTGAAAACAGTATATAGGATCTGATGTCTCTGTGAGCCATTGGTTCAGACCCATTATAGTCACTTATATATTCTTCACCTGTTTATTACAAATTGACACTGTGAACACAAAAGATCCTGTAGGAAAGCCAAGTCTTTACAATAGTGCTGCAGTAAAAGAAATACCATAGATCTGACATATTTTAGAAAATCATCTGTGGTTTGTTTTAGATACTTTTCCAACTCCAAATTTCCAGTAGTTCCTGTGTGAGTGAATCTTAAAGAGAAGGGAAGGAGAGAGAATAACCAGTCTTCTTTTCAGAAGTGCAAACAGCCTTGAGTTTAGGAATGTGCATTTTTCACTCTGTTCTTTGGAACAGATACAGCCGTATAGCTATATTTTATCTATAATGATGTCTATATAATAGACATTATATATGTCTATATAATAGGGGTTGTACCATGCAGAGTGCAAAAGGCAGACTCATTTTTAAAATCTCACCCAAAAGACCAAGCTTGTACAGATTTCTTTATGTCTCTGAAAGACCGAAGTTCAATCTTGGGATCTTATTTCTAAATGAAGACATTTGCTATCTTAGTGACTCACAGTATATATGGGCTGAAGTCTTCCGAAGTGTAAAAGCAATGAAGTTCCAGTTCATTTCTTGGATATTGGTCCCCATGCCTATAACAAAATGAAGCAAATTCCTGAATTTCCCACATTTACATTTTCTTTTTATCTTTTCTCTTAAAGGAACCATTTTATAAAAACACGTTACAAATGAACACCTATGTTGCCTTGTACAAATTTGTACCACAAGAAAATGAAGACTTGGAGATGAGGTAAAATGCCAACATTTTTATTAGCTGAGTTGTATATGAGTGTTTTGTGGTGGGTTCTTTTTTCATTTGGACATTTTTCTAGGTTTTTTTTTTATAAGTCGTAAGTGATAGATGCATGTGACCAACTTTTTTGCCAAGGGCACAAATGATAAAATGTTTCAAAACTCATCACGAGGCTGAAGAGTCAGGTTCAGATCCCACAGCATCAGAGAAAAGACCAAGTGCTTGTTTCTCCACTCTTCAGCAGCAATGACAACTGCTGGGCAACTGAAGCAAAGAGGTCACCACTGCCACCACGTCCAGCTGCATCCTGGGCAAGCTCATATCTTCTATGTGTGCTCTACTGGGGCACACTAGGTCAGGCTTTGTAGTTCATCATGCACTCCAGATGTGCTTGTGATCTCTTGTGCTGCCATCACAACTATCAACAGAGGAGTCCCACATTGTAGGCAAGGAAAATGGAAGAAATAGGGATCCAACATTAATTTTAATAAAATCAGAAAGACGCCACAAAAATATCTTGAATCAAGTAAAACTTTCTTACATAAATCCGTTTGGACTGTCACCTACTTTCTACAAAACAGGGTTGTTACATAATAATCTTGACGAAGTGCTACTAATGGGGGAAAGGAGGTCACATAACTGCTCAGCTACCTGTACAAAATCAGCCCAGCATGTTTAGATTTTAGCACTCTCAGCCTAATTATTCTCCTACCTCTACTCTGGAGCTAGTCAGCTGGATGTTGATACTTAGCAATTACAGCCCTGCATCATGCGTTATAAAGGTCCCATTCAAATGAATTTTGCATTCCAAAGCAAAAATTATATCCCTGCTGACTAATTGCTTTTGTCACTTAAATAAAACTATTTTCCTGCTGCCTTCCTTCTGCAATCACAGCTTGAAAACGCAGATGATAAAGTGATGTGTCCCAACAATACGAAATGTCTTCACGTAACAGAATAACGCCTGTAACAATAGGAACTGCATTTTAAACAGTTTCATATTAAACAGGAACCAAAAATTCCAACACAGGAGGTGTTATCTTACAGTAACAATCTAGCCTTAAATGAAAGTAAAAGAGCGAGCATACGATTGAAGATCATAAAGCAGGTTTCACTGACAGAGGCTTTGATGAAGTGGGAATAAAACGTAGAATATTAGTGAGTAGTGGTGATCATGTGGCTAACTGAAATGGAAAGCTGTTGGGTAACATGTTGGGTGCGTCTACACAGATTGCATGCTCTGAGTGAGCACATGTTGATACAGTACCTTACATAGGAGACAACAGCAAAAAACACACATGGGCAAATTCACAAGTATTATTTATTAGTTCAGCATCACATATTTTATTCCCAGTTTGAATTTTAATTTGAAGTATTAAAACGATGCACAAGAATAAAGCAAAAAGTCAAGACTTGGTGAATGCCAGCAGAGGCCTTCTTAGTATCAATACCTGATTAATGCCAAAGGGAGAAAGTAACACCTTAACTTTTATATCTAAGTAGCTGGGAGCTGAGAGCAAAACTTCGCTCATTTTCAGGCAATATGCAGAGTGTTTTTCTGCATTGCTGTGTTTGATTGAAGTCCTTGTTGCCTCGTTGAGTCTACCTGTAATTAATGCTCAGATAAAATGACCAAGGGAGGATTGCCTTCCTATTAGGATGCAAATGTGGATGGTGATGTAGCATAACAATTAAGAGTCATCTTAGTCCATTTTTCTTCAATTAATTACAGACCAGGGGATATGATCACTCTTCTGGAAGACTCCAATGAAGACTGGTGGAAGGTATAAGCTCCTTATTTCATATCTGCTTATTTTCAAAGGAAAAAAAATGTTCTTTTTCAGTATTTCAGTTCTTTTTTCAGTGTTCTTTTTTCTTTTTAAAGCTATTAGTTTTAACATCATTCTCCTGCCCATACGTTTTCTCCATAGGGGAAAATTGAAGACAGAACTGGATTTTTTCCTGCTAACTTTGTTCAAAGAGTGCAACATGATGAAAAGATTTACAGGTGTATCAGGACATTCATCGGGTGCAAGGAGCAGGGACAGATAACTCTGAAAGAAAACCAAGTAAGTGAGCATGCCACCCTCAAGCCAGATCCCTCGTGGACCCCACCCCGCCCCGCAGGATTTGAGCATCCAGGAGAATGACATGATCAGCAAGCAAGCTGTGAAAGATGAGCATAGGCAGACCCTATTCACTGCAATTTTATTTCTTCAAGGTTTATTAATTGTATGGCAACAGTGTCTAGCAACCAGTTAGGAGCAGAGATGGCCTTGTACAAGCACATACTCCCTGTCTCACATAGCCTAAATTTTAGTCTCACAGACCTTCATAAAGATGATTAACTTTGCATATTGTGCATTCTCTTGACTATTGAGGGACAACTTGAAGGACATACAGTTTTAAAGATAGCCCTCATCTGACAAAAATAGTCTATTTTGCTTTGCTCTATTAGACATAATCTAATAAAAGAGAGTAGCTGTCTTCCTAGATCTTGCCTTACCTAAATATCTAAGCACCACTATAAGCTTTGCAGGTCAGCCTCAAGAGAAAGTTCCAGCAATTGTGCATAACCTGCTGCAGAAGAAAAGAGACGGCAGAGTCATTGAAACAGCCCATAGAAAAGCCATTATGGAGAATTCAAGGTGCAGTTTTGGGGAGATGAGGCATGACTAGTTCCCTCCTCCTGGCTGCTTGCCATCAGTCCTCAGCAAGCTCTCTTCCTTCATCTTCCTTTCCAACCACCTTCCAGGCTGGCATCAATAGATGATGAGAGACAGATCCTTTTAGGTCCTGCTCCTTGCTCCTGATCTGTAGGGAGTAGTGAAATCTAGACATTTCAAAATCATTCAGGGAGGGATTTATCAAATGTATCAGCTTCAGTTCACTTCCAACACAGACAAAGCTTGTTGCTTTCACATCAGCAAAAGCAGAGTTAAGACAGCACTGCAAATATTTTATGTAACCCACACTTACCCACTGGGAAGTATCTGTCATTATTAACTGTTTGGGATGCCACTTACATGCTTTCTTTACAAGCTGTAATTTATTTTAAGCTAAATTGCCAGTGTGAATTGTAATGCACCATATGCAGCATAGATCTGCAGAGTCCATTCACCCTGGTGGACTTTCAGCAATCCATCTACCTACTTATATTCAGATGACTTTCAGGTGAAAACCTCGGCCACCATTTTCAGGTATGTTTTCAGTCTGATTTTAAAAGTGATTTTCAATAAATTTTTTGCCAGACTTTTAATGCTTGCCCGCCTCAAATCTGATCCTGCTGTTAAAGGTTTTCTATGGGCCTCATACTTGGGTAAAGTGAAAGTAGAATGTGTCTCAGAACCTTCATTAAAAGGTGGCTTGTGGCTTAAGCTGATATAAACTAGATGATGGGTAACTAAGGGCTGAGCATGGCCTGGATTCTCTAACACCTAGATGAAATAGAAAGCTATATTTTTCCTGCCGAATCTTATGAAGATTTTCTTCCACCCTGATGGCTTTCTCATTCCTTTCACATCACCAGGATGCCTTTGTCTTGTCATTCTTTGTCATTCAGAAAGCAGCATTTGTATTGAATTCAGCACCATGTTTTTTTTTTTTTTAAGAGAGAAGTTATGTAGCAATTCACTTTGGTGAGGGTATCATTAATTCATCCTTTTGCTGCTGCCTTGTGCCCTAGGAAAAAAAGCATTTGTGCTGACAATCCTTGGGAATACACAGCTCTTTAAGGAAGTCATAGCAATACAGCAACCATATATTTTTAACCATGCACTCAGTACATTGGCCAGCCCTGAAGTTACTGGAAGGAGATAAGACACTTAAAATTTTACTCACTGAAGCAAATTAAAACACACTCTTCACCACAGCCTTACAATCATTCGAATAGGGCTCCTGGGAAAAGTTTGGTAGATTTCTTTTAGGATGGGGGAGTTCATTCCATTTGGGGATTTCTATGGGATGTAGCAAGCCTTTTTTGGCTGGGCACAGTGTGTAGAATAATGGAAGTGCAATGTATGTACTACAGGCAAGGTACCAATTCCTGCCAGACCTCACTTGAGCTAAAAAAGTATAACAGAAAAAAAAATCTGAACTCATTAACTGATCTAATAAATTCCCACTTCTGTCATAGGGCATATTCTCTCTATTTTATATTGCTAATTCACTGGGCTGAAATCTGCAGGGCCTAAACATAGTCCAGAGTCTTTTCTAAAAGGGAAAGGGAGGAAGATATGACAGCAGAAAAACTTAACCCATGACCACAATGCAAATTTTGAGTACACTGCTTGACACTATCCTAAATACTGCAGGACTCCCTCCCATTTGTGCTTTGCATGAGTGTTCTCGGTCTGGGTGGCTGCACTTAAAAGCAAAAGGCAAAGAAAAAGGATGGATTTTTTTATGCAATATATGCAGGATGTGGACATCAGCAAAGCCACATAAGTATCTTAAGAGAAGCCATTCTAGGCAAGCAGAGACATTTTCAAAATTTGAAGCATAGTGGGTGAAGCTTTCTCTGGGTTTTTTTCACAGTTTCAAGTCCTGGAAATAATATTTTGAGTTTTGGGTTCATGCATAGCTGAGAGACCAAGTTGGACTGAGGGTAAAATAACACAATTTGCTCATCCATCTCATGCAATATGCACAGGGTAGGCTTCACAAACAATCCCTTGAATGTTTCTTTACAAACCACAAAATCCAGCCCAGGGCTGGAAAAGTGATCTACCTGGGAGGTATCAACATTTTGCAGTTTAGGGTTTCTGACAGATTTATGTTCCCAAGGCTTATTCAGGAGGCAACTCATTACAATAGGGCTTAGTCAGGAATCTGTGGGAGAGAAGGCAAACTTAGCCCCTGGTGTCTGTAGAGCAAGAGCCTTAAGAGGAAATGAAAATCAGTCAATTTATGCTGATTTCTCCTTTTTTAAAAGCCATCTCACAGTACTGTCTGAATAATTTCCAACTATGACTGTATTATTACGTGGATATATAAAGTTTTCTGCAGCCTGTAGCTTCTGCTCCAGCCTACCTGAATTAATTACTACACATTATACACATGCTTCTTTGCTTGACTACAGACTCTGAAGTACCCAAAGGCAACCTTTTCAGAAGGTGTATGATCAGGGTTTGGAAAAACATCTCTCACTAAATGCCTTTAACATTATTTATGGTGCTTATTTTAAAGCAAATCACAGTAATCTACTCCTTGAATGTCTGTTTTTATTCCCCTCATCTCCTACTTAAACTTAAGGGAGTAGCCTCTTTTTAAAAAAAAAAAACACTTTACCCTTCACTGTTAGCCTCCCTGACTTCTATAGTCACTTTAATATAAACAATTTCAGGGCTGGGCACTTTGTGTTTAAATAACACAACTGATTTTAAGTCGCACAAGTGATCTTGTGCCATAGGAGTGATCTGAAATCACAGCATTTGTTACAATGCTTGCAAACAGAAGCTTCCTGCTTCTTCCAAAATAGTACACAAAGGACCATGCAACAGATCCAGTTTGCAATGGATATATTTTCTAAATGACACTAGTGTAAGCTAGCTCTAGTGCAGAAGGAGTCTCACAACTGGCTTTTGTAGTGACTGCAAATGGGCGCTGTTATTGTGTTGATCACGTCTTCTGAAGCAGAGCTTTAAGCCTTGCTGTCCCGTAGCACTGGAGCTTAGAGGATGCACTGCTCTCCGGCTTCCCAGTTTGGTGAACAAGGATATCAATCTTGTTCATTCAGAGGTGCTCTAGCACGCAAATTTTGGAAGAGCCAGAACCCGAGAGCCACCAGTCTAGTCTTGATCCAGTCTAGTGCAGGTCATCTTTAAAACCCATATGTAAACCAAGCAAGGGCCATATGTAAATCAAGCTGTTATACTCAGCGCAAAAGCTAATGGAACAGCTAATATAAAACCTGTTATAATCACAGGCACTATGATTGACTCATCATGAAAGCTGAATTTACCCACTGACATCCACAAACCTTACCAAGAGAAGGACTTTGATGCAGTGGCAGTAGTAGATATAGCAAGTCACAGTGAGACTGTGCTATGTAGTTCTTACAGATAAAGAGAAGACCTGAGCTTTCAGGCCCTTTGGTCTGGCGGTGTCTGCAGGCTTCAGGACATCTCTTGAAACTATATTGTCCTCATAACCAAATTCCCATTTGGTCAGAACTGCTCTGTGACAAGCAGAAAGGTTAAAGATATAAGGGAGAGAAGAGTGAGCAAAAGACAGCAGGAAAAAAAAATAGTGAGAGTTCAAAGATACTTCTGGACAAAGAATTTTCCATTTGAGCCCAAATCCAAAGCACAAAACCTCAAGAAGCAGAGAGTATTAATGAGCCTGCAGCTTAAAGGATCATTTCCTAATTGTTCCTCTCCCCATCTGCTGCAGAGCTGTCTGACCGATATCAACTCCTGAGAGCAGAAGCTGTTCAGAAAACAGTCAGGATTCCAACAATTGGGTCTTTTGTTGGGGGGTGTCTACCGAAATGAGACAGAAGAATGTGGAAATGACTTTCGAATATTACATGCTACTTTCAGTTGTTTTTGAGTGCCACTTGATGACTCAGAAACAGCCTGAGATATGGTTGCCTAATCCATGGTTTACCCATTACTAATCTCTTGAGACAGGGTCCTTTTTGTTTTTGTTTTTTTGAAGAAAAAAAAATTCTTCCTCCATTTGTGTTGCTACCAAATTCACTGGGGAGCTGCTGCTCATTTACCTTAGCAGGCCAGCAGCCTTCCCCCAGAACATGCCAGCCCATATATAGCTGCCATTTTAGACAGCTTCTAATTTGCAGGAGCAAGCTGTTAGTGTCTGCTGGCAGTTGCGGTACCCTTGTACCTTTGCAGCCATCACACTTGCCATCTGTCACCAGGACTAGTCCGCAGTGGCAGCTGCTTTATCAGGACAAGCCCCACATTCTGGATGCCACTATTTACATCCCTGAGTTTACCCTTGATTTACATCCGCCTAAGAAAGCCAAGAGCCAGATCCCAAAGCTACAACTTGTAGGTGAAAACCCAGGACGGCACTTGAAAAAGGTGATGAGGACAAAATTAGCTAAAGAGCATGTTGTGTTTTCTCATTTCTGAAACTGGAGCCCTTGGAGCCTTCTAGGGCTAGACAAAGCTCCAGCAGCTGCCACAGCCTCAAGGGTCCTCTAACTGGCACAGGATTAGCCGAGTGTGGCACACTGTGGCTACGTTCTCTGTTCCCTCCAAACACATGTCTTTCCTTGGGAGGGAGTGGAAAAAACTGCCAACTGGGAGCCAGTGCATACAAGGGTTAGTGCATTAGTGTGACAGCATTTCAACTGGAATTGGGGAGAATTCCAATTTATGTATTAGTATGTAGTGTGACAGAAATGCTTGTGGAAAGGATGTGCACCCCTCATATCCAGTGAAGATCAAAAGCTATTGCCTATTGACACCAGGAGAGCTCAAATAGCAGACCAACAGCAGAACCAAAAAACTTCTAAAAGGCTAAATCTGCTATCCTTTCAACATCCCAAAGAAGGACAAAAGCAGTGCTGAGGAAGTTTAGCTTCCTATTTTGCCAACAAAGCAATGCTACTGACTACACAAGACTTCGGGGAAAGTCACACTGCTCTTGCAACACACTGAGCACACAGCCTCAGGCTAAGCATAAGATGCAGTGTTGCTAGTGAACAGTGAAGCCCTGCTGAGGAGACCCATCTGGAGACGATTTTGGTTGTTTGCTTGGTTGTTTGTTTCTTGCTCATGCAAAAAAACTAGAGGTCCTGCAGACTCTAGTCCAGGAAGAGAGCACAGAAAAGGAGGTCAGATGTGCCTTTGGAAAAGCTAGGTCCAGTTACAGAGAAGTTGCGATGACTTTTTTTCCCCACTTATAGATCAACCTAGGAGACCCTCATCTTTCAACCAAGATGCTCTTTCCTACTCTTGGTACTTTGCTGTGCTTGGTCATCCTTAGTTAGGTGATTCTTTGTAGGCTTGTTCTCACATCACTGAAGGTTTCAAACTTTCTCAGAGCCACAGACCAATCCCAGCCATAGTTAGGAATACCTTTCTGTATAGGTGTGTTTTATGTCACTTTGATGGTGACACGGCCGAGAGGAAGCAGCTGTTGTGCTAGGATTTGTTCCACAAATAGCTTGGCTTTTTTGCGACAGTACCTTGACTAAGTGGCATATATTATATGTCTCTCCCGCTGTTTCCATGTGCATTAGCGCAAACAAGAACAGAATATGTTTTTTAATTGTACACCAGCATTATTGGTGTGCTCAGTCATTCTACCCCAGGGATCCAATTCAGTTAGTTAGAACTAAGTAGGCAGTTCAGATAAGAAAATCAATGAGGCCATTTGCAAACCCTTGTTTTCAGGTACAGAGATGCACCTGAACATTTCCAAATACTCGTGGTGGCAAATATGATTACACCCTATGATTCTCTCCTAAGCCATTTTTTTTTCCCACTGGCAGTGTCAGTATCACATGTAAATTTTATGTAAGGTAGCAGCAGGAGGACAAACCAGTCCAGAGTTCAGATGTGTCATTTAGGTGTCACTGTACAAACCATAATAGTCATACTGAAATACATTTAGTTAGAAGCATTTTAGAGCCATTTCTGTTTGTTTCATACCTTCAGAATTATTATAATTAAACAGTGCGAATACCTATCAGACAGAACCCTTCTGAGTGTTAGTTCAGGCAGAGGGCACTAAGGACCTGGCACTTGCATTGTGAGAAACCAGTGAGTTTGTCTCAATAGGACCATCAGTTTTCCTTTTAATTTTTAATCTTAGATGATTAAGAGGAAATACGTTGTTCCTTCGCTCAGATGTTTGAAAGGAGCTCTTAATTTTGAGTGTATCTGTGTTCAAGTGCCCAGTCTGAAACACCTGTGCTCAAGTCATTACCTAAAGCGTCTCAAGATGGGCCCTGGAAAGGAAGTACCGGAGATCACAAAAGTCTTTAGGAAGTGCAAACCTTTACTGCAATGTTATATTTGTGTTACTATAAAGACCATATGGCCAGGCCATAATTGGCTTCATATGGAGTAGCTGCTATGCAAACACACTCTCAGTGTATATCCAGACTTGGCACCCAAGACCCACAGAAGCATCAGTTGGTGTGAATGAGTGAATAAGACAAGCTACTGTCCATCTGAGGAGTACCTGAGCTCCTTACACCTACTTCAGATGCTTGAGTTCAGAGCAGATACTACAGTTGACTCACGTTGGCATGTTGATTACTTGTAACCACTGACTGTCAAGGGAGTCGGATAGCTCATGGTCACCCACTTCTCCCTCACACATAGACAGCAACATACACCTTAAACCATGGTGCTTACAGCAGGTCCAAATCATAATTCAAGCTTCAAAATCTTTGATCCACAACAAAGTTCTTACTGGTTTTGATGCATCTCATGCATATGCAGCACTTCGGGGAGGGAAGGTAAGTCACTAAAGGTATGAGCTAGAGTTTCTTATCAAAGCAGGGAGAGCCTAAAAAGGATTGCTATTCTTACAGCAGTAACTAGTGGGAAGTCTGGCCCACCTGCTAAGTAGCCTGGAATAATGTGTCACCTGATTATGGCAAAAAAAGTTTATTATTGTCCTGTCTTCTTTGCCTCCAGATCTGCGTAACTTCTGAAAAGGAACATGACGGCTTTATCAAAGTATACAGCGGGAAGAAGAAAGGCTTTGTGCCCATAGATGTCTTAGAAAACATCTGATTTCCACAGCTCGCTTGCTGCAGTAGGAGCCCTTTGTTGGCGATGCCTGTCTGCCTCATCTCACACTGTGTCAACCCAGATGGGCTGTCTTGCAGATGTTCAGGGAAAAGCACGAAAACTGCAACTACAAGAAGAAAAAGACATTTAGACTGTCACACCAACACTAAGAAATACAAAAAGTGGATTGATTGAAAGAAAATATTGTCAGAAACCACTGAGGAAAAGAGGGGTCTTGGAAATCATCAGGAATAAGGTAAGGGTGAAAAAAGAAAAGAAAAAAAAAAGTCTGGTCTGATTTCTGGTGCAAGACAACTATTACAACCCTGATGGAGACAGACGGCTGTTCTGGAGGACTGAACTCACGTCCTGTTCTTGTGTCTTAGAAAACTGTTGGACTGCTTTCTTGTGTGACGTGTGTTTTGGGGAGGGGCAACCGGGGAGGGGAGGAAAATACTGTTCAAGCTGTCTTTGTACTACAGTCCAATGCTCGTAGTAAAGTGCAGCTGTGGTCCTACAGTTTTGTCCCCAGTCCTGGCCGAGCAGCCGAAGTGTTCAATCCTGGTGTTTAGTCTCATAACACAGCAGTTTGGAGGTGCTGTGTTAATGTCAGCCTGCAGCGTGCACTGCGCCCTGACAGTTGGCAGCTTTCTCTCTCTGTGTCACCTCGCCGTACAGAAGAGTAGCAAATGTCCATGTCCCTTGTGTCCTCTGTTTGTGAGCAAAAGGTCTCCGTGCATGCTGAGTATGATGGCTGCTCGCAGAAATAGCCGTCTTCCTACTCAGAAACCCGCTTGGATACGTCCCTCTGTGTTCCCTGTTCCTTTATCTGGTGACAGAGGAAATGGGAGAAATGATTTGTGAAAGCCACAGGCTCGAAATGTTTTCTATTTTTTCTGTCTTTATTGCACTTAAAAGATTTTATATATTGATCCTATTTATATAAAAAAATTAAAAACAGATGGATAATGAACCCCCCGAAGACTAGTAGCACTAGGAAAGAACAGGCTATTCCTAGAAGCGAAGTCTGTAACTATCGAAATCTAGAATTCACAGCTGAAAGGCACTGGGTATCTTAGCATTGTGTTGATACAACAAAGTATTTTTCTTCATTTGCTAAACAGAAGTTTTGCAGGTTCAGGAGTAAATATACTAATGTGAGCTCCTCCTTGCCTTATACAACCATAAGCCTCCCCTCGGTCTTCTCAAACCTTTTGAGATGGCACAGGGAGGTCTGTCCTGTTGATTATTTGGCCCATGAAGGCCTCCACTTTCAAATACCTTTTGGGCGCACAAACCGTTTGCTATCTGGAGAGCAGCCCATGAGATCTGTGGAGCCCAACCAACATACACAGGTCAACCAGCACCAATCCTGTTGTAGGGCAGGTACCTTGTGATGTTTAAAGACAAGAAACCTAATTGCCAAGTATTTAATTGGGTGCAATTGGACCAAACGCACTTAAGCAGCTTATCATGTATTATGACATGGAGCTTACATCCTATCCCCAAACTCCCTGATGAATTCATGCTTATTTGACCAGTTTGAGACCAAATCCCAGTCTTTAACACTACTGGAGTTGGCCTCAAATTGATGTCCTAAATCCCAGTATTACAATAAGAAATTCAGATGCCGCCAGGTTAATAGAGGCCTTTGCAAGGCAGAAACTATTGCTAAAAAAACATGCTTACATTTTTACATCCATATGTCCATGCGCAGTTTGAATCCATGTTGTGCAGCCTGGGTCTGTAGTTGGGTTGCCCTACTTGAATGGCTGATCTTGTGCAGAGCCTTAAGAAAGCCAGTGCAACTCTCTACATGACCAGAGGTTGACACAGCAGATCAGTATGCAAGCTCTCAGATGCATTTTGCAGCTCTTTTGTATCACTTAACAGAGGAGGAATTTGCAGGGGTGCCATCTGATGATACTTCGTCCTTCATAACAGATGTGATCTGTAACAATCATTAATGTCCTGGCTGATTAAAAGCATCTGATTTCATATCTCCATCTATGGGAATATCAGCAATTTACAGATGGCTTTTTTTTTAATGGAAAACAATTAACGTTTGCTCAGCTCATTTTCGTAAATAGCCAGTAAACTCAGTGGGAGGACAGAAGATTCTCATAAGCCTTAAAGATCAAGAAAAGCAGCAGAGGCATGGTAAACACTTTATAAGATTTATATATATATATATTCACCAGTTCAAAGAAAAAAAAACGAAGTGTTCGTTAGAACTAAAATATTTGCTACTTTTGTTCAGGCCTGTCAGGCCTTTCCTATGGGCAAAGGAAAGCTGTATTAATCTATACATATGTGCTACTGTTTACATGATTGCATCATACTGTGATTCCCTCCTATTTCAATCTTGTATGATTTCAATTTAACCCTAAAATGTGCATCATACTATTCAAAGAATGATATGAATATTACCTACAACTCACAATGGCCTTTAATCAATGTCAGTTTGATTCCTTTTGATACTGAGCAATAAAGTGATTGAGAAAAAAAAAAAACTCTATGTGGACTGTATTACATCTGAGCAAGCATTGCTTGTGAACCAAAGCTTTCATGGTTAATTTTTCTCTATGTTTTTTGTTTACTCTTTTTTCTGGGTTTTTGTAGTGGTTTGATATGGAACCATAATTTATGCCTCATTTAGCAAGAATCACATACATGACTGTAACCTTAAGCATGTGATGCATTGGCTATTTGAATGCCTAAAGATGAAGCACTTTGCTGAATTAAGGTCATTTTCCTCAAATCAATTTTGGATGCCTTACTCTGAAACCAGATGAGTATCCCATCATTTTTTCCTACCTTATGCAGTTCACAATAGATATTGCATTAACAAGCAGATAAAAGCCAGACAGAAGATGGACTGGATTCTGTCTGACATTTGCTCAGAAAAAATTTAATTTTAGGAGATAAATTATGTTCATATTTAATTTAATATTCTGCTCAATAAAGAATACGTAATGGTTGGAAGGAGAACAGAAGTGTATGTTTCTTGGCTTGTTTTCATTGAATGCTTTATCATTTTCAGTTAACTGTCTTCAAAGCATTTACTAGAACTATCAGCAGTAGATGTTGCTGAGCATTTCCATCTAAAATCCACAGCACATCCTTTTGCTGTCTTTATGCAAACATTTCTAAAATAGTTGTTCTGTAATGTATGTGTAGAACTGGAGGTCATTTTTGTGGTGGAGCCATCCTAAACATTTGTTTCTAGCAATCCAGAATGTATTTTAAACCATTTCATTTGTTGTTTCAACATCTCACTGCAGCATAAGACTAGCTATAGAACATACTCTTAGGTGTTAAGGAGAGTTGATCAACATAAGTTGAGGATGAGCCGCCTGAATCATTATTTATTCCCATCTGTAAATAACATAATATTTCACTGTATAAGCATACCATCTTTTCAAACACACAACCATTCTGCTTCTGTGGCTTCCTTCAGTTACTGATGCTGCAATGCACCATTGCTGAAATGGGCTCATTGCCGCAGGGGAACAAAGTTATTTATTAACTTATATTATTCCTTATAAGCATAGTGTTTCCTTAGCATTACTTGCAAGCCTTTTTTCTCAGTAATTTTTGCCTGAGATTCAGCTGACTAAAGACAGCCCCACTGGAGGCATGTAATGACACTGGTGGTTTGGAAGACCTGTGACCTTCTGAAGAAGCCACTGGAGACCATGTAGCTTGCCTAAAATAGCACTAGACACATATCTTCAGAAAATGAACCCAGCTCATTTCTTTTGAATATATGTAGATGCCTCATTCATTGAATACTGATATTACATCTTTCTTTCCCTGTAGGTGGCTGGATAATCGCAGCTAACCATACCAAACCTCACTCATTAGAAGTCCACATAAGCAATTCTAGAATGAACCAGGGACTGAGTTCATCTATAATATTGGAAAAGGCTAGTCAGTGTTCTGTTCCCTCACAAATCCACAATGTAATTTATCAAAGCTAACTGTAAATGTGTACAACGAAGCTATTAACCTTATTTCCCTCCTGCACCTTCCCAGCAAACGGAGTAATGAGCACATCAGTATTGCAGTTCATCCAACTTTTTAAAGACTTCCAGGTTGTGTTCTCCTCTATCCTACCAATGAGTGGAATGGATTCAAGGAGAAGGCAGATATTGCAGATTAATGACTGGCTGCACCACTGGTCTTGGCAACAGAGTTTGGCTTCTATGACCATGGGACTCTGTTTGATGACCACCAGCTAGTGGGGAATGGTGGAAACCACCTCAGCAAGAGGGACACGTGTCTCTTTGCCAAAAGGCTGTCCAACCTGCTTAGGAGGGCTTTAAACTAGGCAAGAAGGGGGAAGGGGAGTGTCACACAGACAGGGCAATCAGTACCACGCAGCCAAAGTCAGATGGAGTGGGAGTATGATAGTGGGGAAGTGAGTATAGGATATGATTATAGAGGGTCCTCTTTCACCCTTCCTGGGAAACCTACAGGCTCAATTAATTCCTGAAATGCCTGTACACCAATGCACGAAGCATGGGGAATAAGCAGGACGAACTGAAGATCTGTATGCGGTCCCAGCGTCATGATCTCATTGGAATCACTGAGACCTGGTGGGATAGCTCGCACGACTGGAGCACTGCCATGGAAGGCTATGTGCTCTTTAGGAAGAACAGGCTGGGTAGGCAAGGTGGTGGAGTTGCTCTTTATGTGAGAGAGCAACTGGAATGCATGGAGCTCAACCTGGGGGTGGATGATGAGCGACTTGAGAGCTTGTGGGTAAAGGTTAAAGGGCAGGCTAACGTGGGAGACACTGTGGTGGGTGTCTGCTACAGGCCACCTGACCAGGATGAGGAAGTTGATGAGGCCTTCTATAGTCAACTGGATGTTGCCTCGCAGTCACAGGCCCTGGTTCTCATGGGGGACTTCAACTACCCTGACATCAACTGGAAGGACAACACAGCCAGGCACAAACAGTCCTGGAGGTTCCTGCAGTGCGTTGATGATAACTTTGTGTGGAGAAGCCAGCAAGGAAAGGTGGGCTACTGGACCTCGTACGAACAAATAGAGAGGAGATGTGAAGGTGGGGAGTAGCCTCGGCTGCAGTGACCATGAGTTGGTGGAGTTCAGGATCTAACAAGGAGGAGGCAGGGCTGTAAGTAGCCTTGCAACGGTGGACTTCAGGAGGGCCA